TAATATTGATATTTATGTTTCCAATGTTAATCAATTTGTTGGGACTATTCAAGAACGGTTGTTACTACGTTCTGATATGCTTGATATGGACTCGTTGATATTGTTATGTACTTGTATATGCTTTATCAACTATCGGACGGATTGGATTGTATGTACCGGTATGGGACGGTGACATACTAGGTTTGGATTAGCTCAAATTGCTAAGTCCTACCTATTTTGGAGTAAGGGCACGGGTTATAAAATACAATCCTCCTTATATATATAAATCGGTACGGTTGAATACGCCGAGTGACTTACTGGATTTCTTGTGGATGGTTAGAAACGGAGTTTAGATATATTTTTATGTTACCGTGTCATGAGCTTGAGTCTCAGTGTCGACGGTTAGGGTGCGTATATGCAGTTGGATGTGTAGCTGACTGTGAAGGTTGAGGTATACCCTGTTTAGGTTTAGGTACTCATGCCCACTCAGGTGCGTATTGTGTGATGCCTTCTATCCAGGTTGAGACCCCCTTCATGGCCTAGCGAGAGTCCAGTAGTGTGGATATATTTATGTACGGATTATTAGTTATTGTTGAACTATTTAGTATGTACATGCGTATCGAGTCTCTGCTTGGATTGTAGTAGGATAGAACTTGTTCGTGGGCCTGACCCACTCCTATTTTTCAGGTGTACGTCAGTTCCAGGCTTGAGCTTGTTCGTGCTAAGCAGAGACGATCTTCCATTCTACCGACGATGTAGGATTTCTTTCCAGATCTTGGATTTGGTTTTTATCTTTCAATTTACTTTCATTCAGTGTGAGATTTTTATAGGGGTCCACTAGAGATGGATTCCCGAGTTGTTCAAATTATGGATATTTGGTTTATCAAATTTAAGTATTTAATTATTTAAGGATTATCTTTTAGTTCTTTTCAGCTTTAAACTTTCATTTCTTAATTCATTTTGTATTCCGTGTTCGTTATAAAATATTAATTGTTTGATATTCCTTCGGGTTTGAGCCTGGGCCTGATCAACCCGTGTCTCGGATCCGAGGGGTATCACAGTTATGACATTGTTTTTGACTTAAAGACTCCCTTTTTTTGGTGTTTGCTAAAGATAATAGGAGTTCAAACTACATGTAAGGGTTTTTTTTTTTGCAGTTGTCACTCTACTGTTGCTGACTTGAAAAGTCTGATTTTTTGGTGATTGTTAAAGATAATGGAGTGAAGACTACACATGTTGGCTTTTTTGGTGTTGTCACTCTGTGGTTATGTGAAATACTAGCTCAAAACAGTCTTCTTATGTAACTTTAATGAATGTATGGTTATTTTATCAGTGTAACTGTTCTAAACTTTTCTGAATGTATGGTTGCTTTATCAGTGTAACTGTTCTAAACTTTTCTAAATGTATGACTGCTTTATCAGTATGAAGTGTTTTTATTTTTTATATTTTTTTGCTACAATTGAATGTATGATAGGCTATGTATGGCTGTTTTTATATAATAGGTACTTTGCAGTGTTTAAAGTTTTGCATTCAATAGGTGCACATTTTAAGACAAGGTCGTGCAATTGAATTGAATATGATAGCACTAACTGCTTACCCACAGTGACTGCAGATATTTCAGTGACTGCACTAAGTGCTTCACCAAGTATGACATTGCTTCCCCATATTATAATAACACTAACTACTTCCCCACAATAACTGCAGATATTTCAGTGACTGCACTAAGTGCTTCACCAAGTATGACATTGCTTCCCCACATTATAATAACACTAACTGTTTCCCCACAATAACTGCAGATATTTCAGTGACTACACTAAGTGCTTCACCAAGTATGATATTGCTTCCCCACATTATAATAGCCTGCATTGACTGCACTAAGTGCATTGAAAACAATTCTGTATACAACATGCAACCAGAAAATTAACTAAAATAACTGCATTGCTTATCACTCCCTCATGACAGGTTTTAGAAAATTGTCAAAGTATTGATGAATATATTGAAGCTTAAGTCACTCTATACACACATGTATTCAGTCACAAACACATACATGTATTATCCTGCTTATCAAAGTCAAAACAGAGCAAATGTCATAAAAGAATATTTCTTTGGTATAGAATGTATATAGATGTGATTATACAACACTCATAGTTCTGATAAAATGAAAAATGTTCTTTTCACTTGTTGCTTTATGTTTCGAAGGCTGTAAATCTGTTATTGAGGAAATTTTGCAAATGCCTTTGGTGCTTTTCTCTACTTGTTGAATGTGAAGAACATAGTCTTTTGGCTTTAATTGTATTATCTTTAGCTGAAATGTTTTTTTCCAACCATTTACATTTTTTGTCATTGCATTGCACAACACATACAACCAAAAAATAGATACAATTGCATTACACTGTCATTAAACAAAATATACACCATTTTCATTCAACATACTAAAACTATTACAAAAGGTTTAAATGATACATAAAGATACAAGACTACTAAATCCCAACCAAAAAATTCCACTCCTAAAATTGATCTTCAACATACAACACTATCAAGTCCTAGCCAAAAAACTCACTTCATAAAAAGGCAACCAAATAAGATTATAACTGACAACCCAAAGAAGAACATGCTTCCAATAAAGATTAACTTAGCAATTGCAATGAATGAACTGAGAGGCACAACATGACCTACTCGAGCTTCATCTTCATCTTCAATGGCTTCACCGAAACCTGTTGGAGGAGTCCACCATTGGAAAAAATTACATTCCTTATTCTTGCAATTGAAATAGAGCTTGCCAGGATTGTTAGTTGATTCAGATATGAACACAGCCACCCTTTTGTCACAACAACATTTCCTATTCCTGAAAGGACCCCTTCGCACCACACCTCGAAAACTACGACTTACAAATGATTCAAAACTCATTTTCTGCAAATAATACCATATAAATGAAAATTAATAGAGAAAATAATACCATATATATATTTACTGAGAAAATAGACCATATATATACATAGAGACAGAAAAAGAGATGGATACGCTTACAACACGATGATGAACAAAGTGAAAAAAATTTGTTCGCTCTTTCCAAACTACAGACCTAGAGAATGATAACAACCCTTACCAAGATGCACAGCTAATAGGCACAAAAGCACGATGATAGTATCTTGTTTCTGACCACCAAATTCAGCAAGATGCACAGCTAATTGAAAACGAAGACAAACCTAACCCTAGAAGGTTGCAGAGTTGTCAATTTAGAGAATTTTTCATAAATGTTTGTTTGGCTTGGTTTAATTATAAGGAATGGGCTTTGGGTCAACGGTTGGAAATTAGGGACATTATTGTCCTTTCATACTTCTATGAGTAATATAGTCATTTAAAATTAAAAGACCAATTTTAACGATCATATATCACCGGACATTGGACGGATGGGGTCATCTGCAATAATTTTGCATAGTCTAGGGGATTAGTTGCATTTTTTGAAGTTTAGGGGGTTAGTTGCATTTTTTGAAGTTTAGGGGGTTAGTTGCAGATTTCACAATAGTCCAGGAGGGTTTGTTGCATTTTACCCTAAAAATAAATTAAAAAAACCAATTTTTGGTAAAGGCCCTTAAGACCATTGCCCAAAACAATACTAATTGGACCGTTGAAATAAAAGGGCCCTACAGTGCAGTCCTGTGGTTGAGGGCTTGCTTTCAAAATTGGCCCGCCTGACCTAGGCCCTGTTTGGTAATACTTTCAGTTTCGGTTTTCTGCTGAAATTTTCATTTTTAAAGAAAAAAAACCGCAACAAAATCAGTTTGGTAATTCCATTTTAATTTTTCACATTTGAATTTTTTTGAAAACTAGTTGTCATTTCATTCACAATTCTCACAACTCCAAAATTAAGTTTTGATTTTAAGTTTTAGTTTTCAAATACTGCTATTTATTATTTTACTATTTTCCACAATTAGAGAAATATTATTTTATTATTTTTCAATTATAATTAAATAGTAAATAAAATATTATTATATTATTTTTCAAAGTATATAAAATATTATTTTATTATTTTTCAATCATACTTGAATAGTATATAAAATATTATTTTATTATTTTGCAATCATACTATAATAGTAAATAAAATAAAATAAAAATATTTGTATACACTCTAATAGTAAAATTTAAAATATTCTCTTATTATTTTTCAATTATACTATAATAGAAAATAAAATAGTCATTTAAAAAAAAAAAAATAAGAAACACAATTTCTCGTTTCTGTTTTAAAAATTCAACAATAAATGTACGTTAACAAATTATTTTTATTTTGATAGAAATGAACACACATTTTCAAAATTTGTGGTTTTCACATACGGTGTAAAAGTACAATAAAAAATAAAAATCCCAACTCGCATTTGTTTCGCAAGTTTTCAGTCCCACCTTATGAGATTGAGTCGGAGCATGCCCTGAGAGCAAAAAGTGGACTTTGAGCCCGCAAAGAATGAATTTGGGGGAGTCCAATTGAACTTCTTTTAGGTTATACTATAATATTTTATCTATAATTGAAGAATTTTTTAAAGTTAGCGTTAATAAGGGTTACCCAATAATTTATCCCGTAAATAAATATTGATGGTGGAAATTAATACTGTAAAAGTTTAACGTGTTTCATTTTCCTTTGCCCAATTTGCTTGTTTATATTGGTGGCAAATAGTTTTTTTCTCTCTCTCAAATAGCGTATTGTTTGCGTCTCTTTCACCGAGTATTGAGTTTCAGAGAGTCTGCTGGCTGCTTGCTCTGGATGTCCCCACAACAAGAAGTGCGTAGCCTACAGATTTCAAAGGGAAAAAACAAGAAAATCACAGTTGCTTTCATTTTCATGCTGTTCTTACTCGCCAAAAGGTACGAACAATGATTCTTTCCCAGATGTTTTCACCGTCCTCCTTTCGTGTTATCTTGAAGATTTTTCTTCCTTCGTAGTTGAAGAAAAATGGTAGTATTTTGATTTCAATTGAAATTGGATTTGGGGTTTAGGTTTTCAATCGAATCAATAGAAAAGGGGGCAAATGGCGACTTGTAATGAAATTCCCAAGGATGTGATTATTGAGATCCTCTTAATGCTTCCTGTGAAATCACTGATTCGGGCCAGGGTGGTTTGCAAAAATTGGTACTCTATCATCATAAACCCTAGTTTTGTTACTAAGCACTTGAACCACCACGCCAACAGTGGCCGTCTTTTTGTTAACCGTTATGACAAAATTTCCCACAAATATACATTCTCATTGTTCCCTGACCAAACACTAGCCGGTTCTCCTCCGGTGTGTCAGGATGTGGTGGTGGATATGCCCTACCATCTTGTTGCCAATCTCTTTAACGGCATACTGTGTCTGTGCGATCCCTCTTATCGTTTTGCTCTCTGGAATCCGGCAACCAGAGAATTTAGGTCCCTCCCTGAACTCTCTCCTAACTTTCTACCCGATATGGTGAGTGGCCAAGAAACTTACGGATTTGGTTTTGATCCCATTACCAATGATTACAAGGTGGTTTGGATTTGGAACACTTGGGATCCTTGTAAAGAAATAAATAGTCCTTATGAGGCTGCTGTGTATACCCTTTCCACCGATTCCTGGAGATATCTTGATCATGTTGCTTTGCCTTATCCTATCATTGACACCCCTCTGTCTAACACATGCATTAATAGAGTTTATCACTGGTTTGCTATGGACAATGACCGCCATGCTCTAATCCTTTCATTTGACATGGGCAATGAATTGTTTCATGAGATAAGTCATATTACTCGATATTCAAAACATGCAGTTCTTGCAGCCTACAATAATTCTCTTGCTCTGATTAATTATGATTCATTTTCTACTGTTGACATATGGGCGATGATGGAAGAAGGGTGTTGGACAAAACAATCAACTCTTCAACTCCCTGATTTCATAGAGGGACTGCTTGGGTTTTGGACGAATGGTCAGATTTTTATGGAATCTGAAGGTGGTGATAGTCACGTGGCGTTATATGATCTAGAGACTCGTGAAATTAAGAAATTTGCATCTGAGATTTGGGCCGAATGTTTGGTCTACAGGGAGAGCCTAGTCTCAATTAGGGGCAGAGATGGGTTCCTAGAACATGATCAGTTGTCTGATGTAGATAAAGTTCTAAACTTTTGTGAATGATTTAGTTCAGTCAATGAGGATGTTGAAATTTCTTGCTCAACCATTTTTTTTTTTTTTTCTTTTTTACTTACAGTTGTCTTTTGGTTTTTAGATTTGTCCTTGGGTAAGACTGCCAGGTTGAGTCATCTGTTTTTTTGTGGGTTTATGGTTTACGAATTTTGTTGGCTATGAATTTTTGAACGAATTTGTGGCAGTGGCAAATGTCTTGGAACTTATATTTCATTTCTTGATGAGCAATACTACTATAAATTTTCAAATTTTTTTGGGTATAAAGATAGGTGGGCCAAGGTATTGTTCAAATAAAAAGTAAAAAGAGTGATTAATTTGCTTGTGCTTCTTCAGCCGGCCTAAAAATTGGATCAAATATGATTTTCCTAGCTTGAATTTTTTTGTTACAAGATAGGTGGCCCAAGTGTAACCCATGTTAAATATTTTGTGGTTGTTAACAAAGCAGCTTAAACATAGGGCTGAACCCTTGCCATATTATCCTAACTTCGCTCTTCTTTTGTGGTGTAAACCATTGCCCGGTGATTATTTAAGCTTGCACTGTTATTTTTGAGAATTTTGAGTCACTTTTTATGACAATCTTAGTATACCTACCCTAATGCGAATTTAAATAAAAGGGATTATTTAAGCTCTTTCCTTTGCTGACTCAAGGTGGATCTGTTGCTAAATCTTCCTCTTAAAGGAGTCCAGTAATCTGCTTCTGGGGTTTGTCATTTTATGTTGTTTCTGTCCATTCTGTCTTCCTGTGTTCTAAAGTGAATGTCTAGCTGATTACTTATCAAAAAAAAAAAATCATATATATCTCTACTTGATTGCTTCGACTCATAAAAGAAACTCTCTTTTTACCCGGCTTTAATGGCAAATCTCAAGTGAATTCCATTCTACGAGTTAGATATTGAGTCCAGTAAAATGGAATGGAATGAATTGAAGATTTATGTTGTAATATGTATGCTTGTAGAAATGGCTTAAATTCTCTCTATGTAGACTACTTTAGCAATCCTATGAATGGCTTTCCGCTAAATATGATTTTCTAGGAACAAATTTATGTGGATTTGGGACACTACTAAATTTTAGATGTATAGGAATTTTATGATTTATCCCTTTTGTTCGGATTGCATAAAGAATAGTTTAACATTCTATATGTCTCTAAATGTCCAACAAAATTATTTATCTAAAATTTAGGTAATATAAATTTATTTAAATTTATTACCCTATTTAATAAAAATAAGGACAATTTAGGTCTAAACCACGAAATAGTACTTCGTTACAATTTTTTTTTTTAAGAAAACTTTTAATGCTAACTAAAATGCATTAAAAAAAATTCATTTTACATATAATATTTTTATATTCCTATAAATGTCCTGCAAAATTATTTACCAATTTTTTTATATAAATTATATTTTTATATAGCTTTTATATATACACACACACACACACCCAGCAGGAACCTAAACGAGAACTTTTGCTCATTGGATAGTTGGAGTGCGATGGATTTGGTACAGGCGTAACCTTTGGAATTTTAGTTATTAAGGATGCACACAACCAACTTATATTTGACCAGATAGGCCCGTTGTCAATCCCATTTGCAGGGAACATTTAGATTAAAATATACAAAATGGAAAATAATACCAAATCACAAAAGCTAGCTCATTAATTGAATACTTTTTTGTATATAAATTCAATTCAATGAGAGAGAGAGAGAATTTCAGTTTCTACTGTCAGCACCACAAGACCACCTCATTTATCTGCTGCATTTCTGTAAACCAACATCAAACCCCAACCCCACCACCCAAACACCCCCCCCCCCCCCCCCCCCCCCCCCCCCCCCCCTAAAACCAGTCACAGAAACACACAAACATCACGACCCTAAAATAAAATAAAATAAAATAATTCTAATTTGAAAAAATGACAAGTTACATGACAAAGATCTTGTTTACTGTCTACAAGGGAAGACATGATGAGGACTGCATGAACTTTTTAGACTTAAACCTGAGTTCTCATGCTTAACAGTCCAAAGTTACCACCAAGTAATGACCACTTCCAAATTAGAAAGTAAGAGTTAATAATCAAACAACTTACTATGTCTTCTTTGTATACACCGAACTGTTGGGATTTATATGCTCTGACATAGCAAATTCCTATTTGGATTAAAGTGACATAAGTTCATGACGTTTCTAAAATATTTATGTTTTTATACAATTGGTGAATTCAATGTATTATGTTTCGATTCATTATAGAATTGATAGTGTCCACTTGATTACAAGAGATAATTATATATGTATGTGATGACGATCAATACATGAATATAAATAGTAATCATAAATGGTTCATAGTCGGTAATTATGGATAGACTCATAATTAATTAAGACTTGAACTGGATCCGCGTTAGGTTGAGATATATTGCGAGAGCCGTCGTATGCAATTGCTCCCTATCACCGTCATGGCATTTGACTCTTAAGTATGAGAAAATTATAGACTCTTTTATTAATTAATAATTACTTTGATTTGTTCGGCGGATTCTTCGGGATCCTTAGACCGACATTTTGGATAGTTATGTAATTAATAGTTAGAGAGTTATATTTTCAATATTTGCATCATTGCTACTTGTATTTATTTTGTATTGATTATGGTTAATTACAAAGTAAATTCGAAACCCTTCGTATGTTTTTAGACAAAATGATTTATTATATATTTATTTATTTAAATTATTACTTTTGTCAAACAAATGTTTTTATTATGATCGAGCCAGAAATAATCAATGGTACCAAAATAAATATATTAATTAAGTAGTCGGATTAATGGCTTTATTTATCCGATAACAAATTATGCATAGAGGGGTCAAAGTGCAATATTGACTTAGAGGTTATTTATTATTTAATTGGAGTTCAATTAATTTCTTTTAGTGGAGTAGAAATTAATTTATGAATTAATTGAATTGGGTCCATGGACTGGGCCAATTATTAATTCATTGTAACCAATAAAATAATAGACCCAATGGATTCTCACTCATAGCCCAACTTGATATTGGAATCATATTAGATTTGAAACATGTGAATTAGAGATTGAGAATGATTTGTTGTTTCCTTTTCTTTATTTTTATTTTGCCTATAAATATACATGGTCTATGTATATTTTAGGGTGATTTTTGGAAGAAGGAAAAAGGAAGCTATTTTCTCTCTCTAGAAAATTAGGGTTTATATTCTCATCTAATGGAGGCTCCCACAAGCCTAGTTTTCCAAGGTCATTCATGGAGGCTTATAAATGATTCCTAAAGGCAAAACAATTACCAAGAAGATGAAGATCCAAAGAGAATGCATCTTGCTAAGGAATCTATAATAAGTGAGAACATTCACTTTAGAGGAAAGTTTTAAAAGTTTACTCAGACCTTTGATGTAAGTATTCAATCTGTTAATTGAATGATACATCATGTTTTATTTTTGCATAAAACTTGTCTCTATGTAATGAATCAAGATCTATGAATTAAAATCCCTCGAAAAGTTTTTAAAACTAACACGTTTCCCAACTGTGGTATCAGAGCATGATTTGATTCATCACTAGAGATCATGATTTTATGAAAATCATCATTCATGGATCCAAAGTTATATATGCATATGTATATATTTTTTTATATGATCATGATGTATGTATATTTGTGATTGGATGAATGTTGATGAATGTTTGGGCCATGGATGAAGCTTATAGGTTATTGGAATGTAATTTTATCTTTGGATGAATGTAATTAAGGCTTTGATTTAACCGTTTGAAAGTTCAATGATGTAATTTAATTTTTTTCATTGTATTTCAAATTGTAAATTTATTTAAAGCCATGTGATCTTCATCAAAGGATGCTATGAAACTTCAGGAAGGTCCAAAAGGGTTAAATTAGGCTTCAAGAATTTTCTAGAATTTTTTCGGAATTTTTCAGAATTTTTCTGGAATTTTTTGGGCTTAATTATAATTTTATGGGATTTTTTATTAATTTTCTGAAATTTTTCGGCGATCGGAGTAATGCCGGCGGCGAGGGACATTGTCGGAAGGTAGATGGATGATCCGGTGTAGCGCAGTGCATATGCACGCGCACTAGCAGCCTTCAGATCAAAGATCAGAAACAAAAAAAGATCCCATGCAGCGCATTCCATGGTGCGCTATATGAGCGCCCAATGGGAATGCGCGTGAGATACACGCGCCGAGTGATGCGGCGCAACTACAAGACAGGCGCATGGAATCACGCGCTGCAGCATCTACAAAGCGCGTGCAGGCGCGTCTCACGCGCTGAAGCGCACACCTAGCGCGTGCAGGCGTGTGCCTGCGCGTGGGGGCGCGTGGAGGCCCGTGCAGTGTTCTGCTGCTTGCCCCCGGTGCGTGTGAGCGCGTGTGGGGCCCTCCGGGCGCATTCCAAGCGGTATTTTACTTCTCCAAACGAGTACCAGCCTCCTGCGGGTGTTTACAAGGCGTTGAAAGACACTCATGCAATACATAGAGCAATTAAATGTTAAAAGCTGATTTCATTGGCCATTTTTATTTGCTTGATTTGTCATTAATTGATGTATGTGATGCATGGAATAGATAATTGTTTATTAATTATTATTCATGCATTGGATCCATGATATTTATTTAAATGGCTTGATTTATATTAATTAAATTATGAAAATTAATTGGATTTGATTACTAATTAATTAGAGGGCACTTATTGGGAAACGAAAAATTATTTTTGAAAATTATTTTTAAAGTGTGCCTCCAATTAAATATTAGTGAATCATTTAAAAGTCCAATTATTTTCTAAATTTAATTGGATTAAAATCAAGACGTTTTGCATACATTATATCATGTAAATGAATAAAATGAAAACCCTAATTATGAATGATTAAAAATTGAGTGGGAGCGGGGATTTTTATACATTACCCCATGGCCTTAGTTATTAACACTATTGTAATTAGATCTTCAAAAATAAGGCCCCACGCATGATTTGAAGAGTCTTAATATTACAAGAATGG